AGAAACCATTGCATGAAATAATAGGGCATTTATAATTTTGTCTCTTCAGGACTGTGGAAAGTGCTACATCTGTCCTGTTTGTGAGACCGTTTGCCAGCCAGGTAAGTAAACAACTTCACCTGCTCTATATTAGTTATTTATATTGCTATAATTACACTGTGGGCATCACAATGGCGCAGTGGGTAGCACAATCGCCCCACAGCATGAAGGTCGCTGGTTCAGTTGCTGGATAAGTTGGCGGTTCATTCCGCTGTGGCGACCCCAGATTAATAAAGGGGCTAAGCTGATAAGAAAATGAATGAATAGTTACACTGTAATCCTTTTACTAATTTCCTTACTTTTTTTTGCTCTCAAAGGTGGCTTTGTGGACTCAGTGTCTGGGTCGATCTATAAGTAAGACAATGCTATCCTCAGAATAAACCTAAAATGTCACTTGTTGATATAATAATCATATAATGATTCTTCTTTTCTCTTATCCAGGACTGTCGCAGACGTCTTCAACGATGATGACGATAACGACGACGATGACGACGACAACTAAACCCACTTGTCACCACCACGTGGCCAAAAGAGGAACGTGCAATTGGGCGTTGCGTTTCACAGATGTTATTTACATTGTAGCGTTATGTTCACTGTCGTTAAGTTATTTTTCTCTTTTTATTGTAAACACATCACACGCTACAGTCGGGGCAATATATACATCCACGTAACAATTACATTGCCTTAAAATCAAATGTACTTAATTTAAGAACACCTTGAATTTCCCTTTTAAACAGTCTTGTTGTTATCATGGATTGTGATATGAAATGTAATTCCAAACCTCTCTGTGTTGCTTTGGCACTACTTATGGAATAAAATGATGGGACGTTTTATTTATGTCTATGTCCAATAATACTTTTTTGAAGACGTTGATTTAACAGTGTAATATTAGACACCTTTCGAGAGGTGTCCTTATGGGGTAGATATGTGTTTTTCTCTTTTCTTATTTCCAAATATGAGTTGCAACAACTTAATTTATGGCCTTAAAGTGGGAAGGGCTGTGTAAATATTTAATAATTTATCTTAATTCATCATTTAGATTGGGTATGTTATTATTAGTACTATAAATTTTAAGTTCTCTTGGATATAAAACAGCTACAAAAATAAGGGTAACGTCAAAGTTCATTTAAAGCGAGGTTTTAACGTAACTTACCTGTTGTAAGTTAGAGGTCATGGGGAAAAAAACTTCTTCGAAAAACATTAAATATAAAAGATTATAGTAGAAGAAGAGCCGGGTAAGAGAGAATGTGAAATAAGAAATATGTAAACTAATTAACATAACTTTAATTAACACAAATTTGGGCAGGTCAAATCAACAAAGACTTAACGTAACTATAATGTCAACGGTCGAATCTGTTTTGTTTTTAAATTGTTTGAATTTTGCCGCCCTTTAAGTCCTGGTGGGTTTTGATTGGATGTAGATCATTTTTAATAAAAGTGGTGGTATATTAGTAGCAAAGACTATAGAATAATATTAATAAGTAATAGTATTTTATAAATATGATAATGTATTATTATTATGGTAGTAGTAAGTGTAGTAGTTTAAGCAATAAAAAGTAAATAATAATGTGATTTTAATTAATAATACATTTTTAATTTTATTATTATTATTGTTGTTGTTGTTGTTGTTGTTGTTGAGAAAAAAAAGATGTAAACACTTTCCTTACATTTATCGTTAGAGGTTTTTGTGCTTGGTGAGAATTGTAAAAAAATACTTTCTACAGTGTAATGGACTGACGACTAGAGCTATAATATAATATAATATAATATAATATAATATAATATAATATAATATAATATAATATGATATAATATAGGGCGAGGCAGTGGCGCAGTAGATAGTGCTGTTGCCTCACAGCAAGAATGTTGCTGGTTCGAACCTCGGCTCAGTTGGCGTTTCTGTGTGGAGTTTGCATGTTCTCCCTGCCTTTGTGTGGGTTTCCTCCGGGTGCTCCGGTTTCCCCCACAGTCCAAAGACATGCGGTACAGGTGAATTGGATAGGCTAAACTGCCCGTAGTGTATGATTGAGTATGTGTGTGTGGATGTTTCCCATGGGTTGCGGCTGGAAAGGTATCCGCTGCGTAAAAAACTTGCTGGATAAATTGGCGGTTCATTCCGCTGTGGCGGCCCCGGATTAATAAAGGGACTAAGCCGATAGGAAAATGAATGAAAGATATAATATAATATAGTTTTGTACAGTGTATATAACCAATGCATTTCAACAAAAATGTTTATGTGACTTGTGTTTGATAATTAACTTATTGCAATGAATTAACAATTTATCAATCAATTAAGTTAATAATTATGTTACAATTTGTGGGTTATTCTGTCGGAAGCGGACTGCATGGGTAACTGTTAAGTCAATGAGCACGACGAGAATGTCAACTTTTATTTTGAAGTTTTTTTATGACGAACCAGGAAAAGGAGCAAAGGATCTTTTCCGGTTTACGACCATAGGAGGTAAACAGAAACATCTGTGCTTATTACTGCATTTATGAATCTGATACTATTAGCGTTATATATATTGTGTTTTGGTGTTTGTGTTTTCTGGCTTGTAGCTTAACGTCTATGATGTTCGTTGTATATTTTCTTGTAACTGACGCTAACGTTTGTCCTGCTTGCTAACGAGCTCACTAAACAAATTTTAATCAGTGGGTAGCGCGTTTTGATATTAACAGTATAATAATCTGTGTGCCGACTGTTTACCACCTTTATAAAACAGTGACGTTTCTTTTGTAAAGATTAAACATGACACGACATGGCAAGAACTGCACCGCGGGAGCCGTTTACACTTATCACGAGAAGAGGAAAGACACTGGTAAAGTATTATTTCTGTAGCCAACCATCCGTATCTGCTAATATGTCACATAATATGGCTGAAGTATGACAGTAACAACATGTGCTTCTCTCGTGGTTTTTCAGCGGCTTCGGGTTATGGGACACAGAGTGTGCGTTTGGGGAAGGATGCAATCAAAGATTTTGACTGCTGCTCTCTGTCCTTGCAGCCCTGCAGAGATCCTGTCCTAACGTACGAGATCCACATGTGATGCTGAAATAGTCTTTTCTTGAAGTTATTTGAGTGAATAAATTGGATGTTCATTAAGTTTCTGATTGATGTGTGTATGTGTTTATATTCTCTAACTGCAGTGAAGATGGATACTTGTATGAAAAAGAGGCCATTCTGCAGTACATCCTTCATCAGAAAACAGAAATTGCCAAGAAAATGAAGGTTTGAGCACTTTTGAAACATTTGATGTGCCTCTATTATGCTTCCCCCCTAATGTTACCTGTCAAGCTCTATTGTACCTGTTTATAAATGTTTAAGGCCTGAAAAGTTTTTCATTTTTTTTTTTTTCTAAAAAAATTATCTTCTGAAAAGCAAGTAGTCAGCAACTTTAGTTTTACTATTCTGAAACTGATCTGTGTTGATTTAACAAAGTTTGAGTAAAGAAATGTGAGTCCTCAAATACTTCCCATTGTTGACATCATGTTAAGAAGATTGAGTTTTTAGGAAAAACATTTATTTTTGTGCGATTATGTTCTTTCATATAAACCCTCTTTGTAAATCAGTGAAGCTGTGAAGTGAATATCTTACATTGGATGTATACTTTGTTTTATTGTGCGAGAATTGTAGTTTTTAGTCATTGAGTTAACAAATTAACATTTCTGCATCTGCTAACATTAGCACAGTTGCAATCTGTTCACCTCAATTTTTGTTGTCCCTGATCTTGAGTATTTTTGTTAATTTTGGTGTCGTTTTTTGCCACTAATCCTTGTTCGTTTTCAACCCTGCTTGACATTTAAGTTTGCTTTAAATGTGAAGAAAGTGTATCAATCTCTGTTGTTATCTTAGTGTTTCCCAACCCTGCTCCTGAAGGCACACCGACAGTACACATTTTCAACCTCTCTCTATTTAAACACACCTGAATCAACTGAGAAGAACTTTAGAAGAGACTCCAAAACCTGACGTTTATGGGTCAGATAAGGGAGACATCCAAAATTTGTACTGTTGGTGGGCCTCCAGGAAAAGGGTTACCACTGTGTTAACAGATACATCTATATGTTTTTAAATGCAGGCATATGAAAAGCAAAAACAGGCTCTGAAGAGTGAAGGCCAGCTGGAGTCCAAATCTGAGGAGCGAGAGAGAGCTGAGAAGTTCAAACAGAGAGAGAATAACATCGTCTCAAAACCTATTAACCCCTTTACTTCAGGTAATAAACTGAAAATGGCAACATGACACTTAGTCCTTCATGAAATGCACATGCTTCTCCCTGATTGTTTTTATTTATTTACTCTCTTTCTTACTTACTAAAATTCCTTTAGGTAAATCTAAAGATGAAGGAAACCAGAATGGCTCAACCAGCTCCTCCAGTACTGACACGTCATCAGGAGAGTCCAGTTCCTCTTCAGCTCTGCCCAGTTTCTGGATCCCCAGCCTCACACCAGAGGCCAAGCCCACATTGCTAAAGAAACCTGTAGGTCTATAGATCTGCCCCTTTTCCCCTCTGCCAGCCACGTGTACTTAGCTTTCAGTAGTCTCACATTATTCTTGTTACACAAGAGATTGAAGTCAGGCTGCATGTTTCTGCCAAATGTTCTTTTGATCGGTCATGATGCCCTTGATTGGTTTGTTTGTCAAACTCACCTCCTGGTTTCTGCTCTCTATGTTCAGTAGCTTATTGTGTCATGCCTGGACTAGGGTAATATGGACTAATCAGGATATATACCCCAACAAAAACATTGGCAAATAGAGCCTAAATGATGTAGGATCAAGTTTTCTACATAACATGTCGCAATATGTACACAAATGTAAAACTGAAAAAACTATTCTAATATTTTTCAGTCAAAGACAGTGTCGTGCCCCATGTCAGGACGTCCCTTGAAGATGAGTGATTTGATTACAGTCCGTTTCACACCACTGGACCCCAGTTTGGACAGAGTGGCTCTTCTCACACGTCAAGTAAAGCATGAAGTCATCTCTCATCTTTCCTCTCTGTATTTTAGCCTTTATTTTAGGCATAGGCTGGATAAAAATTATGAAATATTATTTATAAATATGTTTAAAGAAAAGCATCCGTTTTTAAACTTAATATGTCGATTTGGTGCTCATCAAAAATTTATACTTATCAATGTTGAAAAAAAAAAACTCAGATTGACAGGTATTTGTTGATAATTGGTAATATATTTTTGAACATTAAAAATGTATTTCCTGTCACTTCTAATGTTTGTATAATGTATCTATTATAAAATATTTGTTGAAATATTATATGAATAATTTATCATTGCATACTATCAATCATTTTTTTATTTACTAACTATAAACACACTTTGGATGGTGGTGTGTGTAAACAGTTTGAATTGTATTACACCTTGTTTTTTTGCACAATGCAGAAAGTGAAATGTTTTCTGTGTTCATTAAGGACAGATATGTGTGTGCAGTAACCAAAGACACACTTGGAAACTCGGTGCCCTGTGCAGTTCTCAGACCCTCGTGAGTTTGAACTTTACACTGTTTATGCAACAATAATCCATGCGCATTTAAATAACATATTTTACACATCTAGTCCTTCCTCTCACTTTTAGTTTTTCTGTCTTTTTGTGTTTTTTCAAGTGGAGTCGTAGTCACTATGGAGTGTGTGGAGAAGCTCATAAAGAAAGACATGGTTGATCCAATAACTGGAGACAAACTGAAAGAAAAGGACATCATACCCATTCAGAGGGTGTGTATTAGTGAAATAATGTTTGACAAATGCATAAAGTCAGGCTTTTAACTCTTAACTGTCACATTTCCACAGGTTGGACACTTTTCAGTACTTTTTAAATATGTATTTATTTATATATGTCTTGACAAGCTGTGTAAAAATATATATTTTCTGAGTGTAAACTCACTAACAGCACTGCATTTGTTCTTCGGCAGGGTGGGACTGGCTTCGCGGGCTCAGGAGTGGACCTCAAAGCTAAAGAGGCCAGACCCGTAATGCAAGCATAAATGTGAGGATTGGACAACGCTGTGATGCTGTAAATATTATCATTCATTCATTCTCCTGGATTTATTTTAGGTCATTTGTTGTTATTTCTTTAATAAGGGATCATTTTTGAATGGTATTTTTTTCCATGCCTGTAAAGAAGTTATCATGTCATATGTACACATTATGTAGTTGATTTTTTTTTGTTCAATAAATCTTTCATTTTACACACTTTAAAAGTGACACTTGTCTTATTTTATTAGTTTAAAGATACATTCATGTTTCTGTGTTAATAATAGGGTTAAAGTTCATCATGAACTTCTATCAGGGTCCCATAGTCAGTAATAGTGCTGACTTTAATGAAATCCAGTTTATCCATGATCTCATTGATAGAAAGACGACCATCCTGAGAATAAAAGCAAGGACACAGTAAAAATCTAGAAACTGCAGAAGCTTCAAAAATGATTCAGTTCTGAACAAGAATTACTTCATAAGCTTTTGGGATTAACCGTTACACCTCTCGTCATAATGCAGTACAATGACTTTGATGAAGACCACCATTAAACCCCACTCAAAACAATAATTAAAAAAACCAACATGGCTTTATTTAGATTTCACAGAGAGAAAAATGGTTCACCAGTACAGTGTCAGTCACTTTTGTCTCCTCCCACCCGCTGAATCCCACCCCTTTTTCCCTTACTATTGGAACTTGCTAATGTCTCCTCATCTGTGCTTTTTCATGTTATGTGTGAAATCACAGACCAGAAATGTGATCTTTATTTTGTAACAGTCAAAATCTCCCTAATTGAATACAAACGAAGCTGGACCTGTATTCAGTGCTGAATTCCTGAGAAGTGGAAGACGTAATATTGTTTGCTCAAGCAGTATAAGCAAGCTGGAGTGTCTTTTTATAAGGAATGCGAGTGTTTATGTCATGATACAAAGGACAAGTTTTAAAGCAATGGTACGGATAATGATGCCACCAATGGGAAACCAGGTGAGACCCAGCAACAGAATCCATTTCAGATATTGTTTTGTTTCCCATTTTCAATAGAAAAGTAATCTTCAATGTTGCTCAGAAGCATTGCTCAAAAGGTCCCATGTGTAATCACCTTTTTATCTAAATGACAATAAATAAAACTTGTATCTGTCTCAGTTAGATTCTTATCTTCATTGACCGAAAAGTCTAACCCTTGACTGAGGACCCTGGAAATGTTTCAAAACAGCAGGTAACGAAGATTGTCTGTCATTTTCTTATTCAATTTTCTATCCTCTGACCTACGCCCAAAATATACTGTCCTCCCCTCTACCCAGATATGCCAACATTAAAGCTCATCGTGTCTTTTGGTGAGATCCTCTCCGTAATTAGTCGCTTGGCTCCCAACAAACATGTTCCAGTTTTCCAGAATCTCCTTCTTTGTGATTTTGTCATCCTGGTTAGTCAATTACATCCATTGTGATTTCATTGGTAGTAAATTAAAAGAAAGACAAAAGGTAAAAATTAATTAAAAATTGATTGATTATTATTTGTATTCATGCATCATTAATGCCACCACCCGCATGTAGATCTGGAGAATGTGACTTACGTTGTCTTTATCGGTTTCATGAATGAGATGCCGGGCTTCATTATCAGCATGGTCAACTTCTGTCGGGAGGATCCAGTGCGATACTTCAGTGGCATCAAGGAAACCATCCTAACAGGACCAAACAAGCCATGAATTAAGAATAAGAGCCAGTAAAACAGTCCCAAATAGATTTCCTTTCCTAATGCATACCTTGTTCATGTCTCTGAACTCTGAAAATTGTTTCTTTTCTGTTGTGACCCAGTCTGGTTCAGTCTCTCCATCTTCAGGATTGTACATGTCCCCTACAGTCAGAAGGAACACCTGCATTTATTTTCAACATTTGGCCACAAAACATCAGATATAACTTAGGATTTCTTCCTTTCCAGGTAAATGTGTAGATTTATATACCAATGTATTCCTGCAGATCAATCTTGCCGTCCCCATTCTTGTCAATGTCTTCAATTGTTTCCTGCAACAAAGTTTACATAGATTTATCACAGTGTTTCAAGTCTACTTATCTGACATATGGCTGACAAAATATAGGAAACATATGCTACAGTAATTACTTTGAGTTTTGAACATTTTTAGGACTTGCTAATAATTTAATTAAACTACCCAATTTGTGGTAAGTTTAATACATTTCACTTGTTTGTGCAATAAGCATATCTGCTATACTGGATGGTCAGTATAAAATCAGTACCTTAATGATAAAATCACTTCTTAAAGAGTACACGGGTACATGTTTTAGCTAATAAATGTTGTGATATACAGTGCTCAGCATATAAGCATATACAAATCTCTCTTTCAAATTTATATTTTTAATAGGAAGCTGTACAATATTATATTTGTGCATATACATTAGATTAGTCATTACTGAAGCCAAATCTGGAGCTTATCTAACAAAATAACTAACGATAACGCTCCAAAAACTAGTACACCCAAATTTATGTTACAGAAAAATATTAAATACAAATTTAAATTTATTATTTTATTGAATATTTCTGTTTAATAAATCTGTTTTGTTTAAATGCACCAAAATACATTTACTATATTCACTGAGAAATGGAGAGAAATATTCGTTTTCAAAATGGGGTTTACTAAATTATGCTGAGCACTATGAATATTGTGACCCTCCATTTGATTAGATTAACAATGGCAAAACTGTTTTATATTCTATTGTATATATTAATATTCAAATGTCTTACTCTGTGGTTAATTTATTAACTGAATTTCATCTCTTTTAGTAAAGCGGAAAATACGATCAACAACTAAAACATTAATCATGACTTTACAATGAGATTGAAGCAATGAGAATGAAACAAATCTTTTAAACACATGTAAAACACATATATTGTAATTTAAATCTACAGCTGCAAAGACATTTCAAATAGATAGTGTATTAAAAACATAAGAGTATTTTGAGTGTTGTCTTTCCAACGAAAGAAGACAAGTTGCAGAAGCAAAGGCAGATACGTCTCAAAAAGGTTGTGTATTTTTATCTACATTTGAAGTCAGAATTATTAAACCCCAAGTATTATTATTAAGTATTTTTATTATTTTTTCCCCAATTTTTGTTTATCAGAGAGACTATTTTGTTAACACATTTCTAAACCTAATATTTTTATAACTCATTTCTAATAACTGATTTATTGTATATGAAGACAGTAAATAATATTTTATTAGATATTTTTCAAGACATTTCTATACTGCTTAAAGTGACATTTAAAGGCTTAACTAGGTTAATTAGGTTAACTAGGCAGGTTAGGGTAATTTGGCAAGTTATTGTATATTAATGGTTTATTCTGTAAACAATAAAAATATAAATAGAGCGCTTAAAGGGGCTAATAATTTTGACCTTAAAATGATGTTTAAAAATGTTTAAACTGCTTTTATTCTTGCCAAAATAAAACAAATAGGGCTTTCTCCAGAAGAAAAAATATTATCAGACGCACTGTGAATATTTCCTTGCTCTGTTAAACATCATTTAGGAAATATTTAAAAAAGAAAAAAAATTCAAAGGCGGGCTAATAATTCTGACTTCAACTGTATATCTGTCCTTTTAATTTCTCCATCATTATATTCATCTATCTCTCCCTTTATTCAGACCTCACCTGAATCACAATGTCTCTCATAAAGTCAAACTCTTCTGGATGGAGGAAGGCAGTGAACTCTTCTCTGGTGGCGACACCATCCCCATCCCTGTCTGCAGACTTAAACCGCCTCTCATCTCTATTAAGCATGGATTTGTAGGTGGCTTTATCATCCACATCATCAAACTCTGTGTCTGCAATTAAATAACAAAGTCGATTAATATTCTTTGGTTCTACAGTGTTTTATAACCACACATGAACAGCTGTTTCTCATTAAACATCACCAGCTGCCACGCCTAAACGCAAAGCCTCATTACCTATATAATATCCATAGGTGGTGTTCTTGTACTCAATCCATCCGATCTTCCCATCCTTATTCTGGTCGTACTCATTCCAGTGCTTGTCCACGTTCTCCTCGATGTACCTCCTCTGCCTGTGCTTGATCCAGTGGTGTAACTCAGCATGACTGACGAAGCCATCCTTATCTGTGTCAATCTTATCCACAATCTTTCTGCATGGGGAATATATAAAAAAAATACAAAAGTAAGACACATGATGATTTAGTTTTCTCCTATTACTGCATTATTCTAACTTTTTTTTAGTGTACCCTAATCTGTCTTTGCTCTCCTCAGGGCTCAGCTGGTCAAAGGTCTTGGATTCCTCTTTCCCCAGGAAGGCCTCGTGGTCAAACTGGAAACCGTGGGCATCATCGTGAGGATGGTCACTGAGGTCTAGCTTATGATGTATACGCTTCTCCTGTGCTGGCACCGCAACCGAGAGCCCAGCAAACAGGGCAAGTGTCCCCAGAAAGAGCAGCTGCATATTCTCACTTTAAATGAGGTTAAGAGAGAGAGAACATTTTAAGAAATGCTTTCTGACCTGAAAAGTATGTTGCACACTAACTGAGAGTCATTGTACTTGAATGCAATGAAAGTTTGATGGTATTTTCATTCAATTTTAAACTAAATTTCAGAGCATTAACTTTTCATGTACACTATCTGAATAATAAGCATAGGTTTAAAACATGATCACAAATGCCAACAAGCAACTGCAAAAAAAAACATGTACAAACATAAGTTATTATTAGCAGTGATTTACTGCAGAATTAATGACTGATAAATGAACTACAATAAACAATTGACAATAGAGTTTAGATAAAAGATATTCGTAATATTTAAATGTAAAGATAACTTACCAAGCCAGCAGTGATTTCAGCTTGAGTACACTCAATCTTAACTTGAAGAGTACGCGTTGGCACTGTTCTTTAAAAGTGCACGTAAAAGTAGGCGGAGAAGCCACGTTACGTGCGCTCAGATATGCTTTATTGACACGAAAAAAGGCCAATCAGAAAGAGAGTTTGGGCGGGGCTAAGAAAATGTCAAGATTCTACTGGCTACGAAACGCCACGTTGACACGAGAACGCGCATCAGAGCGCCAGGAGCGCCTTGGCAAACTACGAAAAAACTTTTAAAAAGCTCATCAGCCTCCTGTCAGACAGAAATAAAGGATTAAGCGTTATTTAGAAACAAGCAACGTTACATCAAGATGTATGATTATAAATATTCCTTATGTAGCATGCAAAATGTTTCGTAATTTTTAAGATCATGTTAATATTCTACTCAGTGATGTTTTAAATTAGTCTACGTGTAATTTAGAGGGTAATACAGTGAATACTAAAAGTGTTGTGTGGGTCATTGCGAGTAATTGTTTTAATGCTGCAATTACAAATGTTATTTCATGGATATTTTATACGGGGTAAATACATTTCTCAGAATTTTCTAGAAGACTGGTCTGACGTGGTCATGTTTAAAAGCTTTTCCCCTTAGTATAGGGCTTAATCTTACAGACATTAACATGCATTTTTCTTATGTTTTCAGAAATAAACCACTACCCTATATATACTCTATAAAAGAGTTGAGAAAGCTTAAGCCAACATAACAAACATTTTCAATATTCACTCAATAAAGGGCTTAGTCCCTTTATTAAACCAGGGTCGCCACAGCGGAATGAACCGCCAACTTATCTAGTATATGTTTTACATTGTGGATGCCCTTCCTGCTGCAACCCATCATTGGGAAACACCCATACACACTCATTTACACACACGGACAATTTAGCTTACCTAATTCACCTATAGCGCATGAGTTTGGACTGTGGGGAAATTGGAACACCCGGAGGAAACCCACGTGAACATGTGGAGAACATGCAAACTCCACACAGAAATGCCATCTGACACAGCTGGGACTCAAACCAGCAACTTTCTTGCTGTGAGGCGACAGTTTTACTCACTGTGCCACTGCACCGCCCCCACATTTTCAATAAAGAGGCTATATTTAACACCAGCACTGCAGAATATTACAGCTATTTTATTTTAGATTTAATATTTTAATCTTTACTCAATTGGTATAAAGGAAAAGGCAATGTGCAGAAAGATGCTATAAAATATTGCCCATATACAACTGCCTAAAATGTAAACACACATTTTCATTTTATTTACATCCATTTTGTTAAATTTTATTTATATTTGTTTATTATAAATCTTTCACTGCATTTAGAAAATGTTATTAAAGGCGTTATAATTATTAGGCACCTTTCTCCAAAGAGACATGCCATCGGAACATGATGTAACATATCGGCTTAATCTGCATATTTTTTATTTATTTTTTTAGGGGAAATCTTCAGAAATTATGCCATTGAACATGAACATGTATTAAACTGAGCTGAGAGTATGATTGTGTTATTCTTCAAAGCATAATCAAATTAAAACATTAAGATTGGCTTCAATAGCTCAGTGGTTAGCACTGTCGCCTTACAGCAAGACGGTCGCTGGTTCGAGCTCCAGCTAGACCAGATGACATTTCTGTGTGGAGTTTGCATGTTCTCCCTGTGTTTGCAAGGGTTTATTCCCGGTGCTCCCCCACAGCCCAAAGACATGCAGTGATGCAGTATAGGTGAATTGGGTAAACAAAATTAGCCGTAGTGTATGAGTGTTCGTGAGTGAAAATGGAAGAGTGTGCGGGTGTTTCCCAGTACTGGGTTGCAGCTAGAAGGGCGTCCGCTGCATATGCTGGAATAATTGGCGGTTCATTCCGCTGTGGGGACTCTAATAAATAAGGAGCTAAGTCTATGGAAAATGAATGAATGAATGAATGAATGAAATATTTAAAATATTTCAGTAAAAACACATGCGGGGGAAATTTACAACTAATCAAAAGCAGTAAGATTATTATTATTCGCTTTTATAAGTTGAATTAAATTGATCAAAATTGACTAAAAATATTTAAATCTTTATAAAAGATTTCATTTTAATATAAATGTTGATTTTTATTTTTTGGTCTATTCATTACAGAATTATAACAACTTTTTTTATTTTAGCAACAAAGATATTAGTACTATTGATCAGATGATGCTTAAAACTGGAGTGATATAATTTTCATGATGGCATTTTAAAGTATCTAAATGTAACAGTTATTTAAAATTGCAAAAAAAAAATTCATTGTGTTTTTGTCTTCATTGTTTCATTGTGTTATGTGTGCTCAGATTGTGCACAATTCTTTTTTGTATTATTATAATTTTGCATCCAAATGCCATATTATGAGATGATTATGGCACTGGTATTAGCATCATCTATGGATGCTAGCACCAGTGCCACTTAGATGTGTCCAGTTATACCTCTTCAACTTTGTCGCCTCCTCATTCCGTTGTTTCTGGATCCCTCATCCTCCCTCACATCTTTTCACACAACTTTTCACACCTGCCCTCTTTCTTTACCTCTTTGTCTCTCTCCAGACATACACAGTGCATCGTCCCTCAGTCCTCACCCCTTTCTCTCTCTCTCTGTGTGTGTGTGTATGTATGTGTGTGTCCCCTCTCTTCTCTCTCTTTGCCTGTGGCTGTGTGTCTAGTACCATGGAGCAATTGAAGGTGACAGGGCCAGAGAGAGAGGAGGGGAGAGGGAGGACGTGGCACTCTGTAGCCCGAGGGCACACAACAACACACAGAGAGACAGAAAGAGAGAGAGGGAGATGGTAAAGGAAATGGGAGGGCAGAGACGACAAAATAAGGAAGAAGACAAGTGCTCGGGAACCAAACGGATGGCACAGAGTGATGGAGAGACTGTGGGTCTAATGAATTATTTGTAATTGATGCATTAACATCAATGCCTCCGCCGGATTTTGCCGTCACAGGCGGGATATCAAGTACAACACTTATTCCTTTACCACAGATACACGCACTCTCATACATGTACCTCGTGTTTTCTTTTTTTAAGGGCTTGATGTTAATTTGTCCCGGCATTGTTGCTATGGTGACCTCTCTTCCCCCTCCCCCCCAGCAGAGAGATAGAGAGGGTGACAGGGATGAACTAACAAGACACTGAAAAAATGTGCCCTGAAGGAGCGAGCGCTCACACACCAGCACACATAATAAACACGCACTCGCAACGTCACATGACACTAAATATTAGGCGCATTTTATTAGGCTCCGTTCTCATTCGCTTCACTTCTGGAACCGTTTCAAAGCGTTACTTGCATCCGAGATGCTCTTCGCCTGGCAACGCGCTTCATCCTCAGTCTGTTTTTACATGTCATTGTCTTTTCCCGTGAACACTGCGAACGAGTGACAAAGAGGGAGATGTAGGTATGGAGGGTGGGGTGATGAGGGGGGAGGCAGATGAGAGAGGAAGAGAGCGGAGGGTTTTGTCAACCGGAAATAAATAAAGCTGGCACCCTCCTTCTCCTCCGCCTCCTCTGTCTCTCTGTCTCTCTTTCTCGTGCCCTCCGTGTCCCCCTTCCTTGTTTTTTTTCTACAAGGATACATCCATGGCCTCGTTATGTCTTCCCTTTTTCTCTCTTTCTGTTTCAGTTCGTCCGCTATCATGCGTGCACTGCACCAAACTCGTCGTGTTGTTGTCTGCGCCGCAACGGCGTCCGTTAACCTGATGCAGTTTGTCACATTAAAGGGTCACTTCACACAGAAATGAACATTTTGTCATCATTTACTCATCCTCGTGTCGGTCCAAACCTGGGTGATGTTGTTTCTTCTGGGACCGCAGTATGAGCTGTTTATCAGAATGTTCAAGCTGCACTTTCTCATGCAGTAATTGACGGGAATGTTAACAAAGATGCCATATAAGGAGAGGGGGGCACAAAGTAACACTTTTTGGTTTTGGCCAAAAAATGAACAAAGTAATGTTGTTACTCCTGCCAAAAGTGCCAGGAGTAAAAATGTTACTATTTACCCCACCTGCGGGGCAGGGTTAGGGAGAGGGTTAGTTGAAACACATTAAAAAGGCAGATTTCACACAATTAATTTAAATCTAGTTTATTTTAAATAGTAGTTATATTTCCTCAGTACTTAACTTCATTTATGTGTTTATTCTACATAGCACTGCATTTTATTTATTTATTTATTTGTCCATTGGATAAACACATTTGTAATTATTTGCATTATTATCCATTATTATACAATGCATTTATTTGCATTATTAGCAATAAAAATATTTTTTCTATAAAGATAACTCTATTTAAAAACATTTTATTTAAAAAGTTCTCAACTCTACACTCAAAATAAAATAAAATAAAAAGTTAGTTTAACTGGCGTCCCACATTGTGAGGCTTATTTGTACCATGCACCCTATTACAACTAAACCCGCTGTGTTGTGTTTTCCTCAAAACTGGCTAGCAGTCACTGTTTTTTACAACTTTCAAAATGACTCAATCTTTTATGCTAGAAGACAGTAATCACACCAATATAAGATTTTACTTACATATTTCCACAGATTTTGAAAAACAAAAACAAAAAAAAAATACTTTAATGCTGCTAAAAGGGTTTCTCCTGTGTTTCTCATCCAAATTTGGCTGATCATTTTCAAAAATTTGCAGAAAGACGTCTGCCCACACTGCGGTGAAAACCTCAGAAGCATGCCATGCTTAACCCTGAGCACATACCTTAAAACTCCTACATTTTACCCCATGTTACTTTGTGCCCCGTGCTCCCCTATACCTCTTCTTGAGGCCTGTTTACACCTGCACTCTAAAATGGTAGTGGTTTCAATGATAATGTTTTAAATGCTACAATAAAAATCTGTAACCTGGTTAACACAAGTTTCTGTAATATATGTGATGAATAACCGTAAATTGACTTTCCCAGAAATCCCTGCACGACTCTTCCCTTTTTATGTATTTTGGTAACACTACTGTTTTTTATATATCAGCTTACAGTTATGTTAACATCTAATT